GATAGATAGATAGATAGATAGATAGATAGATAGATAGATAGATAGATAGATAGATAGATAGAACCTCCCACAAAATTCAAACAGACCAATCATGGCACCAAAAACCTCCCGCTTAGTGACTGCAGAGACCCCCTTCTCGCCACACCAGCAAACAAGCCTATGAACTACTGTGCCATTGGTGTGAGGAATTTTGAGTCTTTTAAAGTCAAATACCGTAACTTTTCCTCACATATAGATCAGACTAAATAATTAAATTTGTTATTTTTAGTTTGTACCTTTGTCCTCCTTGATAGTGAGCATAGGCAGAGCATAGATAATCTTGTAGGAGGTCAAAGGAGCACTTAGGGCACAGCCAAGGATGTCCTAGATGAACAAAAACAGAAATGCTTAAACATCTTTTTTGATTCAGACTTCGAGAGACAAAAGTTATTTTCCTTTAGTCTGACAAAATTTAAAAGAAACCCACTCAAACTTAATACACACAWTATAGTAGACGGCAGTATCTGAATTTTGATGTTAAACAGGGTGACTTGCATGAATAATAGAATAACTGATTTGTTTAAATGCTATAGTTGGAAACAGGAGAAAGAAAAGTACCTGTCCCAGTATTTCCATGACCACAGGCACCACTCCGTTCTCCTTGGTGAAGCCTTGGAAAGACATGTTTCTGGCAGACCTGCTGGTGGAGATGAAGACGTCTCCACTAGTTGTTTCAAAGGCGACATACTTCATGTCGGGTCTCACCCAGCAGTTGGTCTGACCGAACATGGTTTCTGGTCTCAGTGTGGCAGCCACCAGAAAGATGTTTTTGCCTTTCATGCCGCTGTGGGGATGAAAAAAAGTGCCAATATAACTAACATAACTTTGACAACAGGAAATTAACATCTTAATGGGCATGGGTGTGTGTTCTGTTAATTAGGGAACAGGTTTAAGTGTTCGAGGCTCGTTACCTGCTATAAAAGACTTTAGACTTGAATTTTGCCGTGTACGGTTCAACAATTTTCATCTTGATGAGCGTGTACTCCTGAGGTCCAACTCCCTGCAAAAGACATCTAAATGTTAAAAAAAGAATCAACCAGCAGCAGCTCTGGAATCACCACTGTTTAATAAATGTGAATAAAAATCAAAATAAAAATAATGAGTGAATCAACTCATATGGGATCATGAAGTATTCTCATTTGGGGACAAGGCAAATTACTGAAACAAATCGGCTATTCTACCCCAAACTGCCAATAATAACTGTTGATTTAGCATGTGCAATATTTTACAGTTTGAAGTTGACATAAAACTAGATAAATCTACCTCTCCAGTTTGCCTGTCATGGTCCATGCATGGCTGTCCATCCTTAGGAGAGTAGATGGTATACCTGCAGAAAATTTTATATTTATCACGTTGCAATGCTTAAAAAACAAAATTCGAAATTAATTATTCTACAAGACCGTGAAATCAATCATAAAGTGTATTCATCGTTTCCCTTACCTTTTGCCAAACTTGATTTTCTTTCTCTCTTTCAGCGTGTTAAAGTGCCACCTGACAAAGGAGTCGTAGAAGGGGTTCACATCTGTGGTGATGAAAGAACGCCTCCAATCCACCTGGGAAATATCAATATAGCACAAGCATTTACATGCTGTTCCATAAAAACCATTTTAAAATAAAMTCTACTGTAGTTTTCTGAACAGTGCGTCTTGGTAAAATGACAAACAKATTTAGCAGAGCATGACCCCTCATAAGGTGCTGGTCCATCTTTCAAAAAATGCAAACCCAATCAGCAAAAAAAAAAGAAAACATAGAAAAACAGCTGTGTGACAGTTCAATCATTATATTTAGTTACCTTGACTCCCATCTGTTTGAGGTCTTTAACAGCCAAAGGAGGGAAGTACTCGAGCCAGTGTTCAGCATTGGCAAACTTGGCAATTTCCTGGTCATTCAGGCCTAAAGACCTCATGATGTCCCACTGGAAAGTGGAAGATCCAGATTTGGCCACAGCTTTACTCTGACAAAAAATAGATTAGGGTTAAAATCTATTGTGTGTGTAATAAAGTATTAAAAAAAACAAATATATTCCTAAGTATTTAATTTAGTCAAGTTTGAAGATAAGATCAGGTACTAACCTTCTTGCCCTTTGCTTTGTCTTTGATAATGATTTCATCAGAGATCTGTGGCTTCTCCTTCTCCTCCTCTTCCMCCTCATCTGGAAACTGTGGAGGGGTTCCATACAGCTCCATTTCTCTCTTCAGCTTGTCTGCACAGGCCTGACAGAAACAATGTGGATTAATTGACTGCAAGTTAGATTTTTTTACAGCAAGAAATTAACAGGAATACCTATGGAATATTTACAGTATAGCAAAATGTAAGTTTTAATTACATTGCTAAAATGAACATGTTTTGTTACATTAAACTGTGTGAGTGTGATGTAAAGCAGTGTTTCCCAAAGTTGGGGTCGGGACCCAAAGTGGGGTCCCGAAACATCAAGGTGGGGTCCTGAAAAGATTTTCTGAATTAYTTACATTTTTGCCTTAGTTGTTACAAAGGAGTGAGGTTAGTGTATTTAAAATGGATACATTTAMAATAATAAATATTGWTACTATGCCCATGATTGGTTGACCTGATTCAAATGTTTATCATCCAAAAACAGTTGTGGGCACAGGTCTCTGCTACTGTTATTTTGTGGGTCAAAAGCTGAAAAGTTTGGGAACCACTGCACTTTGGTTCCCAAAGTTGGGCTTGGAACCCAATTATGGGTCATGAAGCACCTTGGATAATCTCCAGAAATCAATTTAAAGGGTAATAAAATTATTGCTGATGTAATATTTTCCCTATAATTATTACAGAAACACAAAAACGTATAAATAAGTATTTATATTTGTGTACAAGCTGTTTAGATTGCCTGTGTTTTTAGGGTTATTAACAAAGTTTATGTACTCAGACTAGTAATATTTGGGGTCACAAGTTTTTGCCATGAATATTTTGTGGATCAGAAGACAAAAAGTTTGGGAACCACTGATGTAAAGTTTGGTGTTTTCTGTGAAATTTTCCAAATCAGACAAGTTTATTCTGCCCATTGGTGATTTTCTTTGTATTCCCTGACATCTTTTTTTGATTTCTTTTTGATATGCAATCATGGRATCATTAAATAAATGTCAAGAGGAAAAGAAAACAAACATAACAGGGTAACTTTTTCACCAATTTCACATGGTGTCAAAATAAAAAACTGTTCCCTTAAAAAATCCAGTGAAGAGAGATTTTGACAGTTTTCTTTAATTTGTTGGAATATTGTTAAAAATGATTCTGCTGCTGTTTATCCATTAAAAGCCTGCACACAGACAAAATTACAGTCATCCATCTCAGCTTTCATGAGGATGAGGATGCAGTCTTGCAGAAATGCTGAGCTGGGAGCTGTATTGAACTCCATCAATCACAATATATTTCCCTTTCTAAATCAGATAAATAACCCCTGAATATATTAGTTAATGCAGCCCGGCTGAACTTTAAAACACATGCTACCTACACATCCAGACAGGTTTATACAGACTCCCAGCCACATGACTTCACACACCTTTGTGTGGATGGTTGTGTTGGGATTGTTTGACAAATTAAAAATGTGTAACTCCGGTACTTAATGATATTAAAGCAGACTCCGGAACAATTAATGGGTTTATGATTGTTTAAGAATAATCATTAAGTTAGGATCATTTGTTCACTTTCTTTGGACATTCAACATGTTGTGTTTGTTTAGATTAAAAATATATATGGATGTATAAAATTGTGTCAGATTTCAGTTTTTCCCAATAGAATCTAGATATATTTTTGGTAGCAGTCATCCCATTGACAAAATCTTAAAATAAAAGCAGATTTGCAAATGCTGCAACATGATTCTAATATGTAATGCAAGAAGACGACACACTAACCTTAATTGGCATTCCTGTGCAGTGSAGCCCAAATGGAAAGAGGCATTTCTTCCCTTTCAGAGACTGGTAACCAACAGCAAACTACAAAAACAAATCAGAYAAGGAGAGGCTTGTGTTTATCACTTCACCCAACGGTTGAGTATTTTAAATATTTTAATAAAATGTGGTCCACCTATTTTTATGAACAGTATTATTTACATATAATTATTATGTTATAAAATATTTAAATTCCCCGACCTCCCARTGTTTGTCGCTTTAACCTCTAATAGTTTGGTTGATTTCAGCGAACACAAACACAAAACTATGGCTGTAACTCTTTCAGTTTTACAGGCCCAGATATAAAATCTGACATGGTAGTGCATATTATTTCCAAGTTTTGACCAAAACGACCACAGCTGTCATTTATTTAAGACTCAAGCATTAACGATAAAAGGTCCTTTTCATTCTTTTAAGGATCTTTAATTTGTCCAAATGTATTCCAGTCCAGGCACGTTGTACATAAATGTCTTAATTTGTGCAATCCAGTATTGTTATTTTTAAATGTATTTAAATGTATTATTTTGAACCTCGTCTGTGTTTATCTCTGTTTAATGACAACACAAACTCACCTCACACTTGGACAAACTAAAAGTATGGCCAAGATGCAATCGACCATTCATGTAAGGATAGGGGAAGGTCACAAAGTATTTGTTTTTGCTGGAAGGAAACAGAGAGGGGTATGATTAATTAATATATGGACTGGGAAATGACAATAAAAGTTTCTGATAAAACATTTTTTGCTGACAAACTTGTGCAAAGAACACTAACTTTTAGTATCAGGTACAGAAACAGCATTACACCAATAAAAACTGAGTGTTTTAGATTGCAAAGCTAGTTTTTTCTAAAACAAAATTATTTAAAATGACTACTCACTTGGAGCTTTCTCCAACAGTTGATGGTGCATCACGCTCAAATGCTCTCTCCTTCTCCCATTTCTCTTGAATTTCCAATTCAATCTTTCTGAGAAAGTCCAACTTCGCAGTTCCTTTTCGTTCCTTCAGACAATAAATGCAAGTTACAACAGATCAAATGTATCGTATGTAAATTGAATACAGATTATTTCTTTACACACGAACTATACGATCACATTTGTTTTACGTACAGCTGGTTCGAGAGCTCATGCTAGTTCTGACTTAGCTATAAGAGCAACAATAAGTTAAAACATTGAAATAAAAACAATGTTTTTCATTATTAACTTATATGAACTGTTTAAAGAATATACTTACCGTCATCCTGTCTAAAAATGTGTGCTTTAGTCTACCGTTTAATAGGAAAGAAAAGGCAGAAACAGTCTGTCAAAAGGAYCCCACGCCACCGGTGCACAGATGATGACACACACAGATTTTCGCAGGGTTTCATGGGAAATGTAGTTCCTATTCGTCTTTGACGTAGCGTCAAAAGTCGTCAAACAAAGTCATATTTTATTTCAAACATTTTATTTTTTAATTTAATTGAAATACCTTTGAAAATCAAAGGCGTACCCGCTCATTTTTATTTCAATAGTTATTTTTAAGGGATCTCCTGCATTACGACAACTCGGCTTGTGTTGCCATGCCGTAAATCACTTTYCTCGACCTGCCAGAAGAGAGACAGAAGGCCTTAAAGCTTATTAATATATAGACGATGAAAGTAGGGTTGTCAAAGCGCGCTTTCTGTTTATAGGTAATATTACAGTCTTTCTCACGATGATCATAGAAAATGTCGAAGCTCTGAAGTCGTGGCTGGCAAAACTCCTGGAGCCAATGTGAGTGTTGAACTGGAAATGACATTTAGCTTGCGTGCTACGTTAGTTAGCGAGCCATCAATGGGGGTGTGCTAAAATCAGATGGCCGATTCTTACACGAGTTAGCCAGCCAGCAAACCCGCTAGCTGGCCTTTAGTTGTGGCTACTGGTTAAGAATCTGATACTTCTCATGTTGCATTTAAAATGTGCCTCGTATAATGTAGATATATACGTTTGTTTCATTATTTGAGCATTCATTGCAGCACATTTAGTCTAGTGTTATTAATACACAGCGTTGTGATTTTATTTGTGCTGCGTTCAGCTTCACTATAAGTTAGCTCTTTCAGTAACCATATTTGTACAATTTATTTTAATGTTTCACGTAAATGTTTTGATGAAATAAAACACCTGACAGAGGTTTAAAAGTTGCATATATAACATTTTTTCTAGCTTTTATTTTGTTATTTTTGGTAACATAATGATAATTAAAAAATATGTAACTTCATATTAAAGTTTAGATATTAGTTATATACGCTTGCATTTGTCTGTTATCTATCAGTAAGTGGGGCATGAGATGAGCCATTTTGTGTACTTTTGTTTGTTTACATGTGGTGCCAAACAGTAAAACTATTTTTAACATCCATGGAAAAAAACAACATGCTGTGTTAATGTTTAATAAGTCACGTACTGAGTTGTAACTTTAACCAGCAGGTGTTTGTTAGTGACACTTTTTTATGTATTTTTCCTCTGCATTTCATCAACGACTTATCTCAGTAAAGTTCAGTATCTCTTTTTTTAAATGTTTGTTTGGTCAGCAAACCTGCTCCTCCAAAGCTGCTTTTCTAGACCAATTTAATGATTTGTAAAGAAAGACAAACACATGTTTGTTTGTTTGTTTGTTTAAGTATATTTGAAACCAGAACTACCAGGCCTCTGCCATTTGGCAGTTATACCCTTTAAATCCCAAGGAATTGCCAAATGGCAGATGTGAATATACTTTATTACACAATAGTTTTTATATGTCTGTAGTCGTCTTTCTCTTTATTATAAAAAATGATATTAAAATAATGTGAAACCGACACAAAGACATTTGAACTACAATTCCAAAACATCACAAGTATGCCTCCTTTGTACAAACTTAGATTGTTTTCACACTGAAAAAGGTGACATACAGATTGGACAAAATAGCTAAAGTTCAGATTTTTTTAAACCTTATTTTAAGCAATTTTGTCTTTTGAAAAACAGCCAATAGGTAAAGATATTTTTACATAAATTTATACAAAAACAAC